AAGATATTCCCAGATGGAGAAAAACTAAAGAGAAATTTTCTCTAACAAGCCTAACCTAAAAGAATAGCAAATCATACTTAATGGTGAAAGATTACTTTCTCTCTAAGATCAAGAACAAAGAAGGCTTGTCCCTATTTGCAGAAGACAAATTTCAGCTACAGAGAAAATTCAAGTAATCTATAAAAAGCCTTCTAGAACTAATAAATTCAGGAAATTTATAGGATATAAGACCAATATACAAAAATCAATTTTATTTCTATATGTTTCCAGGAAACACTGATATTAAAAATACTGTACCATTTACATATGCTCAGAAAAAGTGAAATATGTAGTTATAAATCTAACAAAACAAATACAGGAATTTAATGTCCAAAAGTACAAAATCATGATGGGAGGTATGAAAGCAGATTCAAATAATGAACAGACATGTTGAATTGTTCATGGATTGGAACAGTCAATGTAAGAGAGAGGTCAGTTCTTCCCAAACTAAAATACAGATTTAATACAGTTGCTATTAAATTCTAACATGATTCGTTCACACATCAAGGCAAGATTATTCTAAAATATATATGGAAAGGCAAATGAACTACAATAGCTAAAATAATAAATTTTAATACATTGCATATTGGCCATAAGGAAGACTTATGTAGTGTTGGCAGAAGAAAAAATAAATACATCAGTGTAACAGCTGGAAAGAGAATGGTTGACTGATGTCTGACACAAGTATAAAAGCAACTCAATGGAGAGTAGATAGTATTTTCAACAAACACTGCTGAAACAATTTGGATATTTGTAGACAAAAAATAAAACTCAACCTAAATCTCACATCTCTCATCTTATGTAAAAATGAAAACAAAGCACATTAAACTTTTAGAAGAAATACAGGAGAAAATTTTGGGGGCAAAGAAACTGGACTGGATAAGATATGATACCAAAACATAATCCATGAAAGACAAACATTTATCAGTCGAACTTCATCAAAATTAAAACTTTTCCTGTGTGAAAGACCTTATTAGGAAGATGGGAAAACTACACATTGAAAGAAAAATATTTTCAAACCATATATCTGACAAAAATACTCAAAGTTAAATATATAAAGAACTCTCAGAATGCAATACTAAAAAAAATCAAATTTTCTTCTTTTTCTTCTCCTCCTCCTCTTCCCCTTCCTCCCCTTCCTCCTCCTCCTCCTCCTTTTTTCTGTCTGTCTCTCTCCCTCCCTCCCTCCTTCTCTCTCCTTCCCTCCTTCCCTCCCAACCATCGGAGGAATTCTTCCCTTACTCAGTGAATCCTTAGCAGAATTTGTTCTATCTGACCTAAGCTTTGACTGATTTAAAAACAAAAGCAGAGACAATCATACAATAGTGAGGGAGAAATAATTTGCCACAAATACAAACTGTAAGCACAAAGTGTTTTTTTCAAATTGAGTATGAGGCATAAGTAGGGAAAAGTATGTTGTTTTTTAGACATTGCTAGTAATGGTAAGAGAGTCATCTCCCTTCTATGGAGTAGAGAAAAAAAATACTATGGGAAAGTAAAATTTTAGGAAATCTGAGATGAACAAGAAAATTCTATACCAAGGTTAAAATATAAATTTGAAAAAAGAAAAAAGTATGAAATAGATCAGAAGTATAGACCCTTGTCCTAAATAACTTCAAAAATCTGCTGTTATAGTCATCACAGACCAGGAAGGGAAAAGAGAATGTGGGCATGAAAGAGAGACAGGAGGATTTTTAAAAATATGTTATACGAGAACTTGAGCTACTCTAAAGCACTCAATTCCTAGCACTTAATAAGGGTTGAAACTACTGGACAACCAACTCTTCACATCAAGTGGCACCTATGGGCAGGGCCATCGCCGTCCACCTCGAGGGGGCCTCATTGTCATTGTAGTCTATGCAAAAGGTTCCTGGAGATTTAAGTAGCAAATAGCCTGAAAGGCCAAACACTGAACACTTGCTCATGAAATGTTTCAGAGTTTCCAATGCATTAGAGAACCACAATATTTGATATCCGCAAAATATCCAAGTAGGTATTACTCACTTTCCAGAAAAGCAAATGCATCTATAAAGGAAAAGTGAAATGATTTCTCTGTGATCCCAACATCTACAGACACAATGGACCCAGGTAATTGTATTGGGAGTGGCAGTTGGGTTGAGAGGCACACAGGATTGGATCAGACACTGTAGGGATATTCTGTAACTCTTATAAATTAGATTCCCACAAAGTTGTCATGCAAATTGACATAATCAGGCATTCCAGACAAAAATCTGCATAAATGGGCTCAGGGTGACTTGTCTAAATCCTTCAGTATGCACCAGTTTATATTTAAATGACCTTCTGTAAAATCACTTTCCTTGCAATTTCTATACATATTCATGCAGACACACCATCAGCATTGAAAGATAGCCTAGCAGGAAAGAGAAAAAATCCTATTACAGGACAAGACAATTGCCTCAGTTAATGCAATCAGATAGCACAGCTGCAATCCTTGTTAATCTGAATTTAGTACAAATAACTAAAGAGCTTTATTCACTATATGATAAAAATTAGATACTTGCAAAGTAAGTTTCTGACAATTCACATAAATTTATTTTGCAATAAATCATTTAGTGCAGGAGGCTTTTTAAAAATGCATTGAATTGGCATTAGATCAAGATGAAATAAACCTGATTTCTAAAAACACACTTCATCAAATGTTTCACAAGGCTTCTGTAAGCAGTATGAGCTATCTGTTCAGGAGCTAGACAATGTTTTACCTTATTTTTTGCTTTACTTGGAAAACTTGCCAACATAATTTGCCAACATACTTTTAAACCAGATTACTGTATTACTTAAGACTGAATGACAAGAGAAGACAGAAGAGGAGACTTAAGTGCTAATTTGCCTAAGACTGATTATTTCAAACTTACCTAATCATGAGAATTAGTAGGTTTCAAATGTGGGTGCCCAAGACTCAATCTGGAAGTTCTGACTTCTGAGGGCAGGAGGGGGCTCAGATAAGTGTATTATTAAAAGTATCTGGATGCATTTTAGGGTCAGGCCAATTTGGGAGATATGAGGTCTCATGGCAAGAACTCTGACCTAATCTGAGTGTTAAAAACATCTGGGTAGCCAGGGGTGTTGTTGTGAACCTGTCATCCCAACTACACGTAAACATAAATAAAAGGACAGCAGTCCAGGTCCACCTGGGTATAAACACAAGACCCTATCCCCAAAATAACAAAAGCAAAAAGAACTGGGAGGCATGGCTCAAGTGGTAAAGTGACTGCCTAGCAAACACAAGACCTTGAGTTCAAACCTCAGTACCACCAAAAAACAATACAAAACAAAAACCCACCAGGGTTCTTTGCTGGTCTCAGGGCTGCACATTGCTGGTGAGTATTTCAAAGAATAGGACTTTGGTAAATTCATTTCATTTTCCTCGCAGGGCTGTGATGGTTAAAGGAGATGAACTGGAAGTACTAGCACACTGTTTAGCTCAAAGTAGATCCTCCACCAAGTGAGCTAAAGACAGGAGACGTGAATCGGGGGAGACTACCTGCCTAGCATGCACCAGGCTCTTGGTTCCATCCCTAGCACCACAGGGAAAACAAAGTGAGTTGAATCCAGATAGCCCAGTTGAATCTGAAATACTATGGACAGATCTGTGTTCTTTTGCTGCATGGACAGGAGCTCTGTGGTCACTAAATGATTTTCAGGATTTTTGCTACTTTCAGCCTAAAACGTACCATCAAGTAGCAAGTCCAGAATTGCCTGAAGCTGTCACTGTCACATGTAGATGATGCAGAAAAAAGTGCTATTGTTTCCAATTATGGGGGGGAGGGGAGGAATAAACCCTGACAACTCTATAACATTTCAAATTTATTTTAAAACAAAAATGATCTCATTTTTAAAATTTTATTAAATCACAGTATTTAAACATCTCCTTATATTATGTATCTATTGTAACTTAGAGAAGTGTTGTGTCCATGCCAGTGATATCAATATTACCTTGGAACTTGCTACATTTGCCAACTCCATGGTTAACAAAGTTCTCTGGTAATTCGAACACATACTAAAGTATGAGAAGCACTAAAGTATAAGAGCATGTTGGGCACAGTGGCTCACACCTATAATCCCAGCTACTTGGGAGATCAGGAGCATAGAGGAACCAGGTGAAAAGTTAGGAAGATCCCATCTCAATCAATAAGCTGAGTATGGTAGTGTGCACCTGTCCTCTCTGTTACTCCAGAGGCGTAAATAGGAAGATTGCAGTCCAGGTCAGGCCAGGCAAAAATAGGAGACCCTATCTGAATAATAACTAAAGAAAAAAAGGGCTGGTGGAATGGCTCAAGTGGTAGAGCACCTGTCTAGCAAGTGTGAGGCCCTGAGTTCAAACTCCATACTGCTAAAAAAAAAAAAAAAAAGTGAACAAGATCGTCAAAAACAAATGCACTCTCAGAAGGCTAAATTCAACTTTCTATAGACCCCCCCTACAATGGATGAAAACTAAAAAGACATATCATAATTTCAGTCAACTGCTTAACAATACAGTCAATTAGCAACCATACAACAAGCCACTTTTATATAGTAACTGAAGATTTCTCCCTTTGAAAAAAATGCTGAAATACTGATCCTGGAATGAAAAATGTAGACCACTCACCGGCTTTTAGAAAGTTCATGTACTCGTTTCTCAATTTTTTAAAATGCTTAGTGATAAAAATATTACCAAGAATTAACAATTTAATTTTAATAAAACACGAACAATTTAAAATGAGGCTAAAGATATCCACTGCAAAAACACGGGTTTTTTTTCTTTTAATCCAAATGGTCATTGTGATTTAGAAAGAGTCATGTATAAAACTGTAAGGAAAACTACATATTGTAAGTTTATGATTCTGTGTTCTACAGAAGAAAAGCTCCCAAGGTCAATTCTAAAAATCTTAAAACTGAGTGTTCCCAGAGTCCAGCAGAGAAGGGAGAGACTTTTAACTTAAAGGCAGAGTTGGGATGGGAGTGCTGGTGAGAAATTCTCATGTATCCATTGTCACATCCTTTGGTCACAAGTTAGGGAATAGGAGAATACACTGATTCTCTACCATGTTCTGTGGCTTGGGAGAACATGGGGTTCATTTCCCAACATTTTATCCAAACCCTAAAACTCATCCAAGGGAAAGTGGTTGACTGAGAGGTATAAGAAGAATACACCAGTCCATGCCCAACAGCTTCTAGTCTGGAACATTGAAGGGCAGTGTGCTGATGACCTCCCCAGACTCTGTGACAATGGCATCATACACCCAGCGGCGGTTGCAGCGGCACTCAGGTCCACACTTGTTGGAGTTACATTTGGGACAGGGATAGAAGCAGCCCAGGCAGTTTTTTTCTAGGCAGTCGCACAGGTCGACGTCATTACAGATTAACCTGCCACTTTTGTCGTACTTCTTCATAACTCTACAAAGGAAAGAATGACATGAATATGACAGTGCTATTGTCATCAACATTGAGAATAAATTATTGTTCAACAACTTCATCCTTTTACTCCAAAGGAGTACCCATAAACACTTCAGAGTGCTAAATGCCGGTGATATCATGGGAAATCTAGTCACTATGTATGTGGTCATCCATGTCCAGTGCAGCCAGGCTTGTCATGAAGAATGTCTTCCCTTGTCCAGCATCACTGGAGAATGTAATAATCCATCTAAGAAAATGCCCAGGAATAACTGACCAAAGCATTCTCCTGTTTTTCTTTAAAATATGACCATTCTTGGTAGATTGTTTTCAAATAAAAATTTGCTTTTTTTTTTTGAAGTATATGCTTACTGACTCAAGATGAGAATCATCAGGTTTTTTTTATCATGATTATTGAAGAAAAACAAAGGCTTTTGCCAAGTGACTAGGTAACATTTCCTCTGTTCATTTCTGTTTTTCACCCAGTGCAGAGAGAGAACACAGGTGACCAAGATGGTAGAATCCTGCATCATAAGCCCTGAGTGAAAGCAAGACGCTCTGTGCCAGAGGAGATCACCAGAGTTTAGACCCCACTGGATTCCCACACTTTCACTGTCCACCTCTACAGCTTGTCCAGGAGGCAAAAGACTTTCACAAGAATTGTTCCACTCTCTCGAAGCCAAATCATTTTGAAATACATCCTTCAAAACTAAGCTGTTTGAAAGACAAAAACCATACAATCACCTCAATAGATGCAAAAAAAGCCTTAGATAAAATTCAACATCCTTTCATGATAAAGCTCTTATGATACTAGAAATAGATGGAATGCAGCTCAACATAATAAAGGATATATATGACAAGCCTATAGCCAATATCATACTAAAAGGGGAAAAACTGAAAACTTTTCCTCTAAAGCCAGGAATGAGATAAGGGTGTCCACTCTCCCCACTCTTATTCAACACTCTTATTCTGGGTGGAAGTCCTACCCAGAGCAATAAGATGGGAAGAAGAAATAAAAGGGATACAAATTGGAGAGGAAGTAGTCAAATTATCTATTTGCAGACAACAAGATCTTATACCTAAAAGATCAGAAAAACTCCACCAAAAAACTCCTAGACACCATAAACAGCTTCAGCAAAGTTACAGGATACAAAATCAATCTACAAAAATCAGTAGCCTTTCTATACACCAACAATGAGCAGATTAAGAAAGAATATAGGAAAATAATTCCACTTAGCCTCAAGAAATAAAATACCTAGGAATAAACTTAACAAAAGATGTGAAAGATCTCTCCAGGGAAAACTATAAACTATTGAACAAAGAAATCAATGAAGTCCACAGAAGATGGAAAGATGTTCCATACTCATGGATTAGCAGAATTAACATAGTAAAAATGGCTACACTACCAAAAGCAATCTACATGTTCAATGCAATTCCCATGAAAATCCCAATGACATTCATCACAGAGATTGAAAAATCAACCCTAAAGTTCATTTGAAACACAAAAGACTGCGAATAGCCAAGGCAATATTGAGCAAAAAGCAATGCTGGAGGTATCACAATGCCCGACTTCAAACTATATTACAGAGCCATAGCAATAAAAACAACATGTTACTGGCACAAAAACAGACATGAAGACCAGTGGGACAATAGAACCAGATATGAATCCATGTAGTTATGCCTACCTGATTTTTGACAAAGGTGCTAAAAACATACAATGGAGAAAAGACAGCTTCTTCAACAAATGTTGCTGGGTAAACTGGATATCCGCATGCAGAAAACTGAAACTAGATCCATGTTTGTCGTCCTGTGTAAGTATCAACTCAAAGTGAATTAAGGACTTTAAGATCAGACCTAAAACTTTGAAGCTAGTGCAGGAAAATGCAAGGAATACACTGGAATTAATAGGTATGGGCAAGGACTTCCTCAATAGAACTCAAATGGCTCAGCAACTAAGAGAAAGGATTAACAAATTGAACTACATGAAATTAAAAAGCTTCTGCACAACAAAAGAAATGGTCTCTAAATTGAAGAGGCTGCCCACAGAGTGGGAGAAAATCTTTGCCTGCTTTACGTCAGACAAGGGATTGATAACCAGAATATACACGGACCTCAAAAAACTAAACTTCCAAAAAATCAATGACCCAATGAAGAAATGGGAACATGAACTGAACAGAACTTTCTCAAAGGAAGAACTTCAAATGGCTAAAAAAAAAAACACATGAAGAAATGCTCAACATCCCTGGCCATAAAGGAAATGCAAATCGAAATCATGTTAAGATTCTTTAAGATTCCACCTCACTCCTGTTAGAATGGCTACCATCAAGAACACAAACAACAAATGTTGGTGAGAATGTGGGGAAAAAGGAGCCCTCATACACTGTTAGTGGGAATGTAAATTACCAGTCACTATAGAAAATAGTAAAGAGGCTCCTTAAAAAACTAAAAACAGAACTACCATATGATCCAGCAATTCCACTCTTAGGAGTATACCTGAGGGAATGTAAGTCAGGTTGCACAAAAGGTACCTCACACACACACATGTTTATTATAGCATTATACACAATAGCCAAGTTATGAAGATGTCCCACGACTGACAAATGGATTAAGAAAATGTGGTATTTATGTACAATGGAATTTTATTCAGCCACAAAGAAGAATGAAATTCTGTCACTTGCAGGTAAATGGATGGCACTGGAGAACATCATGTTAAGTGAAGTTGGCCAGGTTCAGAGGGCCAAAAGTCACATTTTCTATCATATGTGGTATATAGACCTAAAACAAATACAGCAATATTATGAAAAACAGGTCACACTAAGGGAAAGTCACATACAAAGGAAAAAGAACAAAATTAAAATGAATGTGGTTGATGTATTGTCTAGACAAGAAGAATATAGAAATTTTTTTATCTTTTCTTTTTTGATGCTGGGATCGAACCCAGGGCCTTGTGCATGCTAAACAAGCACTCAACTACATCCCAGCCCCGAATATAGAATTTTTAAACTGGCTGAAGCAACCATAAGAAAGAGACTAAGGTAGAAAGAAGAAAAATAGAGAAGATAAAACAAATTGGGCTATAATACATATAAACATGGAAGTGCCACAAGGAAACCCCCTGTGTAGCTATCTTAAACATGCAAAAATGTCATTTTTTTTCTTTTGCAAAATTGGAGAACAGGATTGGAACAGGTCCTGCCTTGGGGGTGGGGGGTTGGTACCAGTGGGAGGGGGAGGATTGGGGAAAGGGTGTGGGAGGGTGAGTATGCGCAAATACTGTGTACACATGTTTGTAAATGGAAAAATGAGACCTGTTGATACTATACCAGGCATGGGGGAGGGTAAAGGAGAAGAGTGGAGGGGGTGAATTCAATTATGACATACTCGATATATTGTAAGACCCCTTGTAAATGCCACAATGTACCCCTACCCGGCACAACAATAAAAGAAGGGGGGAAAAACTAAGCCGCTTGAAAGCCTAAAATAACAGAAACATTTCTGAATAACTTGTTATTAATCCTTACTAGTTGAATCAAAAGGCTGGTCCTTCACTATTG